CATTGTCAATTCTCCTAGGTGAATCCGAAACACCTCCAACCAGTGCCATTACACAACGCGCACACCAAACGCACACGCGCACGCACGCACGCACTCATGCATCCAGGCACACACGCATTACAGCTTCATGCCCTTGTCTTACGTTCCCGGGCCCAACTTGGGCACCAAATGTTGGTGGTGCCTATTCAGCTTGCCAGGGTTTCCGCAATCTTCAACCTACATAACTCACCCCGACAGAAACACCACTTTAAAGCTGGAGCAACCACGTGATGAAAAAAAACCTTCAAGATCCAAGAAATCTCGGGAGCCCATTTTCTCTTGGTTGACGTTGGAAGGAAGGGGAGCAACAATATAAATTTTAGCAGTTAAGTGGGGGTTTCCCACTAAACCACAGCAAGCAAAAATGTGACATGTTTCCCAACGACGACCATGAGTTTCTTAGCAAACTGAGAGCCCTTTTCTCACGCCTAGGCCAACCCGCCGCGGGAAAGGCCTGCAGCACATCCTGATCTGCCCCGGGCGACGGCTCCGCCAGGTGCCGCAGCTCCTGCAGCCACGTGGCCGGGCGGATCTGGCTGTGGGTCAAAAATAGGTGCCCAAAATAAGTTGCCCTGGTTAATGGAAACATGGACTAAAAAATGCGGTCCCCTGATGGTTTGATTCTGACCCATGCCCATCTACACGATTCGAATTGCAATGTGGGGCGCTCGTCGCCTGGGGTCACTTGCTGGCGTGAGCGCTGCCAGGCACGCAGCAACAGAACATTCTCTGCACTGAGGTGTGCCAAATCGGTTTCTTTTGAAGGGTTTTAATGGGGAACCAAAAAGGACAACCATCAGTTTGTGAGGGTGCCCCAAGAAAAACAGACCCACAGCGCAATCGATGCGCTCAGCTCCCCTTTGAAGTCTCCGCAACAACGTTTGTTTGCGGATCTGCCAGACAATGAACGCCTGCAACAATGGATAGGTAACTCAACTTTGCCGGATCCAGGACCCTCAGCAGTAGCAAGTATACGTAAGCCAATGGTGCCTTTGAGCTCATGGCAATTTGGAGCTTGGAGGCCACAGGAGCCCGGGAACCCCCGATTTTGACTTTCTCTTTAGTTTCCCCTGAGGAAAGAAAAAACGGTGCCCACCCTGAGAAAATATGTGTGTGTGCACAACGTTCGGGGGTCCGATTCCCATAAGACAAACCAGCATGCCCCAGCAAAAGGAAACCATCTTCAAATTGGAGGAATTCAAACCACCATTGGAAACCTGTTTTGCCAGCGTTTGAGATCCATCGGCCGCCATTTCCTGCTCGGTTGCGATGTGTCCCTTAAACCCAGCGAGTCAAGGCACACAGGAATCGACCGACTTCAACCTCGCCAACTGCATTGCTCCAAGCTTTTGCCTGGCATTGAGGCCTGGCCCCCTTTTGGCCGGAAGTCGAATGAGTATGGGTCACACCCAACCCCCTCCCCAACCAAAATTCTGAAAATCATGACCTCCTGCTGGCCAGGCCTGTCTGACGTGTCTGAGACTAGGCTCAGGCCCAGCCCAACCAGCAAGCCAGGCCTGTCAGCCCAGCCCACCCAGCCTCAGGCCCAAGCTTGTCTGAAACAGGCCTGGCCCAACCAGGCCCAAGCACGGCCCCAAGTCATCCAGCAAGCCCAGCCCGGCCCCGGCGCATTTCAGGGCATGCCAGCCACTAGGCCGGCCCCCAGCTCCCAGACCAGCAGCAGGCTCAGCCCAGCGTGCCAAAGTCAGGTTTGTCTAACGTGTCTGAGACTGGCGCAGTCTGAGACTGGTCTCAAAGTATGCCAGCCTGAGACCAGCCTCAGGCCCAGTCCCTCAGCCCGCCTGCTGGCGTGTCTTGCGTGTCTGCGACTGGTTTCAGGTTCAAGTGTGCATGAAACAGGCCTTGCCCGGCCAGCCCGCCCAGCCGAAGTTGCGACTGGCCTCAGGCCCAGCCCAGCCAGCAACTCGCTACCCAGCCTCTTGCCCATCCAGCGACCCGCCCAAGCACAGCTCAGCCCAGCCCGCCCAGGCGAAGTTCCAGGCGCAGTGAACAGCGTAGTCCGGCTGCCCAGCAGCCAGCAACCCACCCATGGCTTCGCAGCCTCGTGGCTGAGACTAGCTTCAGGCCCAGCCCAACCAGCAACCCGCCTAAGCAAACCCCACCCAAGCCTGTTTGAGACTCGCAGGCCTCAGCCTATCTAGCGCCGAGACTGGCCCAGCCTGGGCTCAACTAGCGTCTAGCCCAGCCCAGTCCGCCTGCTGGCCAGGCCTGTCTGACGTGTCTGAAACTGGCCTCAGGCCCAGCCCAGCCATAGCCCAGCCCCTCAGTGCGGCTGCCCAGCCCGCCGTAAACTAGCTTCAGGCCCAGCTCAACCAAGCAAGGTCCAGCCAAGCTGCCCGAGACTAGCTTCAGGCCCAGCGCAGGCTTATCTGATGTGTCTGAGACTAGCCTGTGGCCCAGCCCAACCAGGCGAGGCCGGCTTGTCTGACGGAAGGAGCATGTAAGTAGAAGCCAAATGACCACCAGCTACCAACTGCAAAGCTGCTAGGTGAATTCACACGGTAGGTTTTTTGTCGCGGTTCTCATCCTGAAGGACCGAAGGATGTGTGTTTAGATGAATCCTTGCTGAAATGAATATTCTTTATGTCCCCCTGTTGGTTTCACAGGGAAACTATCACTGTTGAGGATATTTTTCCGGGGTACTTAAGCAAATGGAGGTTTGTATTCCGACCATGTACCTGTCTTGGGCTGAGCAACCGAGCAAGAAATGTATGTCATGGCAAGCCGCCAGCCACGTGAAATGTCCAAAGTTGGTCTTGGTTGTTCAGTGACACCAATTCTTGTTCCCCTTTTTATGGAGGCCAAGCCCCACTAAAAATGCTCATCCCCAGAAAGAGGTCCTTTTTTTTCCAAGGGCACTGAGCAGCTGAGATAGTCTTGGTTTTGGATTTCAAACCTTCCGAGCAGGACGGCTTACGAACATCGAACTAGCACGGGCGAACTGGTGCGGTCACAAGCTTTCAGTAGGATTCGGACCTTCCCAACACTGGATTTCGGTGTTCCTGACCCTTCCCTCAAACTAGGCTGGGCCGAGGCGGGCAACGCGAAGCGTTTACAATTACCAGGAATTGGACCGCGGAGTTGTGCCAGCAGGGTTCCATGTTGGGTACCGATTTTTGACCCACCCAAATCAAGGCAACAACCACAAAAAACGGGTCGCTGTGATTTGTCAGGCCTTGCCAACCCCCTTTTGGCTGGTATTCAACTGGAGGCCAACCGGACACGCAGGGGAAAAACATCCCCCGGCTCGTCGTCGCTAACTGCTCGGAGTCGAGAACAGGGATCCTTACATTACACCTGTGCCTTGTCAATGGTGGTTTCCGGCTTTATTTTAGTGTTGAAAAAGCAACATGTTTCAAATGGTTGCAAAATGGCCATCTTTTAAGGATGCCGATTTTTGGCCCACACCCAGATGGAGGCAAAACGGAAACTATTTGTTCAAAGTGTCTTTTTTCAGAAGCCCTGGAGAAGCGACGGAGCAGCGAGCTCGGCTCTTCTCCTCCTCACTGCGCTTTGGGGAGATGGGCTCGAAGGAGTCCTCCTTCTGCCTCGGGCGAAAATGGCGCAACGTCGCCAGTGGCCGCTGCACCCAGTTTTTTGCGGTTCCCCACATTTTGGCCATGGCCACGGCTAGCTTGCAGCACCGGTGAATGCGCCCATTTGGCTGCAGTTTGGGGTTCCCACTTTTCGCCATGGCTGCCCATTTGGCTGGGCTAAGAAGGAAAGCCAAAGAAATAGCCCAGAAGCTTCATGCGGGTTGGGGTTCCCGTGTTGGGCTTGCGCGAAGGGAAGCCTCACAAGTGTGCCGACATCCATGTTGGGTCGCGTATTTTCACGGTTGCTCCCTCCCCTCGACCGAGCAAAAGGTCCTTAGACGTCTGTTTCCAAATTCAGACACGGCACCAAAGAACAGCCATGTTTCAGGCCCTGCTGAATGGGCCTAAAATTCCAAAGAAAATACGGATGTGTCTACTTTGAGCATGTCAAGGAAACCATGTGATACGCTGATACTTGGAAACTTGCAGTGATATCCGTGACTATATTGTCACTTTAAAGGGGGCCCTCTTGGTATCACAGACACTTGCCATAAGGGTGTTTTGCCCCAACAGCTGAAAGCGATGGGGTTGCCGGTGGGGATATCACCTGAGCTTATTGGGGAACTGCCGGGTGGGTTTTGCATGGTTTTCCTTCACAACCACCAACACAGGCTACCCTCAAAAAAGAGACTGCGCAACCATGCCTAGCCCTGCCGGTTTTGGAAAACCGCGGGGTTGTCTGTCCGCTTCGAGCATCACCCCAACAGGGAACTCATTTATCCAAAACGTATGAAGGACACGACTGATTCTGGGCCACATTTTGCGAACCTGAAAATGCAACAGCTTCACCAAGAACATACGGAAACAGTCATGGGCATTCTAGACCCAGCCAACATCGCAGCCAGGAGTTGCGGAACGCTCGAACATCTCAACATACCATGCGAACAACCAAAGCCCACGAGAGACAAGATTATTGTTTCAAGACAAATGCCGCTGGCCCCATTATTCTACAACCATTATCAAGATGAGTGGCAGGATGCAAAAAATAAGAAAAACATCAAGCAGTTTCTGAGTTAATCGCCCAAATGGTGCGCATTTTTGTGGATACCCTTTCGGGGCCGTTGTAATGGAAGACCCTCAAAAGGCACAGCAATCTGCAACATTTACTGTACATCCAAAAGCTCACTTTTGAGGCATCCCCAAAGTAAAGGACCTTTATCATGGTGAGCTCGTTGTAAGCCCAGGGGTGAGCTCGCCTGGGTAGTGGAAAACTAACAGACCCAAAAAAAACCAACAAAAAAAACACAAGGGGAGCTAATTCTGGGGAAGAACATTGGCGGAATAAGATGGAAAAGGACAAAAGGTGGTGGCTGTCTCCGCCAAAAGCACTCAGTGCAGCACAGGTCAGCGACGGCAATGGGCGGCACACCTGCGGGGAACCCCGGGCCCAACTACACATGGTCAACCTGAAACACTCAGGACATGCAAATAGAACATGATAAAACAGCCCCCCACTGCTTTTGGGACTAAACACAAAAATAGGAAAAAGGGCCATCTACTTTCACCCAATTGAAACTGAAACTTATGAGGCCCCCCTGAATATGCTTTACTGTGACAGACCCAACCAAGCAAGTTTCCTCCACAAGGGTCCTTCTAATGGGTCCTATGATCTATGCTTGAATAAGCAGCCCATAAATTGTAAATTCGGGGATTGTCAACTTCTTCCATTCTTCCTAGAGTTGTTCAAACTGGGGATCTGAAATTCCACCCCAGTGGGACGCCACTGCGTGCAACAAGGGAAACCACTGCCATCTCGCTCAAATATTTATGAAGGATTGAGCTCGGAAAGCCCGCTTGCGTTAAAGGAATCCACGGTTGCGCAGTCAAGCAGTCAAGGGGCCAAAAAGATTCACAAGGCCCCAAGGCACTGCCCCAACAAAAACCTGAGACTACTCCCAGGAGCAAAAAAGGGACACACGACAACGTAGTGGTTCTCGTGTGGAGACTCCGGGGGCCGGGGCTGGGTTCGTTATTGCCTTGCAGCGAAATATGATTTTGTTGTTTATTATTTATTTAATGTATTTAATTTATTCATGCATGTTATGTTGCAACATGCAAAAAACTACCTGGCCCCTCCGATGGCCGGTAATTGGCGTCCCGGGTGAAGTGCCGGCAATTGACAAGCACTTGCTTAAAAATTGTTTTGTAGTCACATAGATGTCTTTGCCATCATCAAAGTGCAGTGAAAAGTCACTGTTGTTGAAACGTCACTTCAGGATACTAGAGGGGATCCAATTGAGGGTTGGGCTGGCATGTATGATCATTGCACATGCGGGGGGCAGGGGGGGGCAGGGGGGGGGAGGGGAGGGAGGGAGGGGAGGGGGAGGGGGGGGGGGGGGGAGGGGGAGGGGGGGGGACACGCTGGTGACACGCTCATATTCCAAAAAAGTGACCGTTCAACGTACATGTGCCGGCAATTGGCCACCCCCCGACACGCCGTGACACGCCGTGACAGGTTGTCAAGAACCCCTCCCAACCTCAAACTTGCCCCCCAAACCTCGAATTTGCTGCTCTCCCTTCCCCTGCAACCCCATATCAAAGGACCCTGAAAGGTCACTTGTATCATTGCACAAATTGCACTAAGTACAAATGAGTGATACTTGAGAGCGAATTGCTTTTGCAGTCGCTTAGACATAAAGCGACATCGTTTTGCCCATAATCGATGTGCCGGCAATTGGCCAGCCATTGGGGGGTGTGGTAGAAGTCGAGACATTTCGCGACAAACATGCTCTCGGCAGGTCTCGAACACGGTTTGCATCTTGCTTTTGTGGATCCACCCTGCCGGATATTGAAAGGGTACTAAAAATGATTACTACAAAGAAGCAACAGGGGGAAAACATGTAAAATCCGCAAAAAGAGCATCCAAACCGTTTTCTAGAAATGAGAACTCCGAGATCGAGAATAAGGCGTGGTGTAGAAGGGTCATTCCCTCACTCCCTACTGAGCACCAGCAATTGACAAGGGGGAACTGTAGCCTATTTAGAAATCAGGAACCATGGCAACATTGTTCTTGAGTCAGGTTTAACTTGGTCCTCCGGTAGAGAGGTTAGAATAAGGGTACCCTTTTTTCTGTCGTCTATTTCAGTAGGGGCAACCCTCCCAACCAAAAAAGGGGAGAGAGCTTGGGGACCTAGGCCAACTTGTTTTTTGAGCTAGGTTTAACTCAGTTGTGCAAAGGACCTGGAACTAAAAGGTTAACTTTTTTACTAAAAATAGTTCAGAATGGGAAAACCAAAAGGTCGGCTTTGGGCAAGTGAGTTAACCTTGGACACGTGAAAGGCGAGAGCCTTCCGCGGAGTCCCCTTCTCGTCCCGCGCCTTGGCTCGCCTGAGGGATCGGGACAAACCGTACAGCGAACGCTTCGGCAAAACCCGGAGCGGAGCTGCGACATAGGCGGGCCTGGAACCCTCAGATAGGACAAGAACCCATGTGCCAACGCCTCCTTTTGGATTTTTGTTGCAAAAGAACCCAACAAATGGCCCCCTCAGTTGCCCAAAGGACCCAGAAATGAACGGATTATCTTCTGGGGTCACTAAAATGAACCAAAACCGGGAAACCAACATGTCATTTCAGGTCGATTCGCTTTGGGCAAGTGAATCCCCTTCAAGGAAAAACTGCCTCTGCCTAGAACTAAAGAGTTCCCTAAGTTCCGCGTGACACAGAGAACCCCGGTGCGCAGATTGTCACTCGAAACCTGCCTGCTTGTGATCCATTCCTCCAGCCGATAGCTTGCCAATCTGACCACAAATCTCGGTTGCCTTCTGCGAAGCCCTGCTAAAAGTGACTAACTTTTAGTGGTTTAATACAGAAAACCCACTCGTTGGCAAAAAGTTAAAGTCCTAACATCCCTTGGCAAAATGCACCAAAGAAATGCAACATGAAAGAAAACTCGGCTTCAAACAACCCATCCTCCACTTGAACTAAACGAAAAGACTACCCGCGGGCCGCCCGTCTGGATAGAAAGGCCGATGAATGTTCACTCCAGGACGGTTTTCTTCACGCTGGACTGGCTGCTGAACGTCTGAATGCTTCCGAACGCTTCCGCGGCAACAACGCCGCTTGCGAACCGGTTGTCCACTCCGAACGGTTTCGAACCGAATTTGAACGCAACACGAGCGCCCGAACATAGACATAATCCAGAGTAACGGGAGCACTCAATCGCACACAAGGTAAGTCAAAGTATAACACTCGAAGTTTCGAACGGATAAACAAGTCCAGCGTTATATATTCCAAGCTTTTGCTCGCGCAAATGTGCTTCCCAACAGTGCGCGAATTCTCACGCAGGTAAACCAAATGTATTTTGGACACCGGCTGTGTTTTTTGAGAGTACCCCTTCTGTGTTGGCCTTTTGGAGGGCAAAGGAGCACCACCAATTTGGAGGGTTCCCCCAAAACATGTTTGTTTAGAGACCGGAGAGTCATTACCCTTTTTTGAGGCTGGCTTGCAGAAGGGCAAAGGGACCCATGCCTTTTTGGCTTTGATCTCGCCTCTCGCTCGGCCTTCTCCCGCGGCTCCCGCCTCGAGAAAGCGAGCGGGGGACTTGTGAGGGGTAACTGGATGTCCACTCCAAAAACGTAAGCAGTCTGGAGGTCAAAGATCTAGGGCTACCTTCAAACCATTCTTTCCAAATAATGTTGACCTATGATTAATAAATAGGGCCCCCCCCCTGAACGACCATAAATAAAGATTCGTGGAGAATTTTCAGGGTCGGGCTTTGCTTAAAGGAGTTTAGTATTGGGCTCTTTTTTGTTGGTTTTCGAATACTACTTTAGAATTGGGCAAATTCAAAAGTAGTATTGGGCAAGTTGTTTTTCTTACTTTGCTCTGGGACAATACTAGTTTAGAATTGGGCAAATTTTAAAGTAGTATTGAGCCAAGAACTTTTGCATGCATTTCATGAGGGTTTGCATGGGCTGGCATGCATTCCAGGAGGGATTGAGAAGGACATTCATGAGCGTTTGAGTGGCATGCATTCCAGGAGGGATTGGGAAGGAAATTCATGAGGGTTTGCATGGGCTGGCATGCATTCTAGGAGGGATTGAGAAGGAAATTCATGAGGGTTTGCATGGGCAGGCATGTATTCCAAGAAGAGCGATTGGGAAGGAAGTTCATGAGGGTTTGCATGGGCTGGCATGCATTCTAGGAGGGGTTGAGAAGGACATTGATGAGGGTTTGCATGGGCAGGCATGTGTTCTAGGAGGGGTTGAGAAGGACATTCATGAGGGTTTGCATGGGCTGGCACGCATTCCAGGAACGATTGGGAAGGAAGTTCATGAGGGTTTGCATGGGCTGGGATGCATTCTAGGAGGGGTTGAGAAGGACATTCATGAGGGTTTGCATGGGCAGGCATGTATTCTAGGAGGGGTTGAGAAGGACATTCATGAGGGTTTGCATGGGCTGGCATGCATTCCAGGAACGATTGGGAAGGGTTTGCATGGGCAGGCATGCATTCCAAGAGGGATTCCAAAAGGGTTTGCATTGGCCAGTTCAAAAGTAGTATTGGGCATGTTTTTCATATTTTGTTTGGTGTGGATTCTAATTTAGTTTTGGGGCAATTCTAAAGTGGTATTGGGCCAACAACTTGTGCATGAAGTGCATTAAGATTTGCATAGGGTAGCCTGCATTTCAGGAGGCATTCAACATGAAATCCATTAGGAGTTACATGGGTTGGCATGCATTTTAGAAAGGATTCAGCATGCCATTCATGAGGGTTTGCATGGGTTAGTATGCATTTCAGGAGGCATTCAACATGAAACCCATTAAGATTTACATGGTGGGTTGGCATGCATTTTAGAAAGGGTTCAGCATGACATTCATTCATGAGGGTTTGCATGGGTGAGTATGCATTTCAGGAGGCATTCAACATGAAATCCATTAGGATTTACATGGGTTGGCATGCGTTTTTAGACAGGATTCATGAGGGTGTGCATGGATTTGCATGCATTTCAGGAGGTGTGCAGCATGAATTTCATGAGGATTGGCATGGGCTAGCATGCATTTCAAGAGGGATTCAGCATGGAAATCATTAGGTATTGCCTGTGTTAGCATGCATCCCAGCCAGGAGGCATGCAGCATGGCATTCATGAGGGTGTGCATGGATTTTGCATTCATTTCAGGGGGTGTTCAGCATCATTTTCATGAGGGTTGCATGGGTTAGCATGCATTTCAAGAAGGGTTCAGCATGGAAATCTGTAGATTTTGTATGGGCTATCATGCATCTCAGGAGGGATTCTGCATGACATTCATGAGGGTGTGCATGGATGTGCATGCATTTCAGGATGTGTTGAGCATGAATATTATGAGGGTTTGCATGGGTGAGCATGCATTTCAGGAAGGATTCAGCATGAAATGCATTAGAGTGTGCATGGGTTGGCATGCATTTTAGAAAGGATTCAGCATGACATTCATGAGGGTGTGCGTGGATTTTGCATTCATTTCAGTAGGTGTTCAGCATCAATTTCATGAGGGTTTGCATGGGTTAGCATGCATTTCAAAAGAACAGCATGAAAATCATTAGATTTTGCATGGGTTAGCATGCATCTCAGGAGGGGTTCAGCATGCCATTCATGATATGTGCATGGATGTGCATGCTTTTCAGGAGGTGTTGAGCATCAATTTCCTTAGGGTTCACAGTGACCATTAGCTTTGCCAGCGTTGCAGCCATGTCATCATTGAGCGATGATTCATGGATTGAACTTGCTGAATCAAATGTAGATAATTGGAGGGATCAGTTTTTTTTTGATGGGGGAATCTGGTTAGCATTATTCATGGTCTGGTTATTATTTAGTGCATCAGGGTTCATGGGGGGAATGTGTTGATTTTGATGGCTTGTTAAAAGGAATCTTAAAAGAAAGGGATCCCGTAAATTTGTGGATTTGGGATAAATTTAGAATCAAGTGTGGGATGACCCAAGTGGAATGGAAAGCTTGACCCTGAATAAAGATCAGGGATCATATCGATTTTTTGATGGGGGAATGTGGTTAGCATTATTCATGGTCTGGTTATGCATCAGGGTTCATGGGGGATACCCTTGCTGCCAGGGTCAATGTGTTGATTTTGATGGTTTTTAAAAAGGAATCGTAAAAGAAAGGGATCCCATAAATTTGTGGATTTGGGATAAATTTAGAATCAGGTGTGGGATGAGCCAAGTGGAATGGAAAGCTTGACCATGAATAAAGATAAGGGGATCATATCGATTTTTTTGATGGGGGAATCTGGTTAGCATTATTCATGGTCTGGTTATTATTTAGTGCATCAGGGTTCATGGGGGGTACCCTTGCTGCCAGGGTCAACGTGTTGATTTTGATGGATTTGTGAAAGGAATCTTAAAAGAAAGGGATCCCATAAATTTGTGGATTTGGGATAAATTTAGAATCAGGTGTGGGATGAGCCAAGTGGAATGGAAAGCTTGACCATGAATAAAGATAAGGGGATCATATCGATTTTTTTGATGGGGGAATCTGGTTAGCACTATTCATGGTCTGGTTATTATGTAGTGCATCAGGGTTCATGGGGGGTACCCTTGCTGCCAGGATCAACGTGTTGATTTTGATGGATTTTTAAAAGGAATCTTAAAAGAAAGGGATCCCATAAATTTGTGGATTTGGGATAAATTTAGAATCAGGTGTGGGATGAGCCAAGTGGAATGGAAAGATTGACCATGAATCAAGATAAGGGGATCATATCGATTTTTTTGATGGGGGAATCTGGTTAGCATTATTCATGGTCTGGATTTTATTTAGTGCATCATGGTTCATGGGGGGCACCCTTGCTGCCAGGGTCAACGTGTTGATTTTGATGGATTTTTGAAAGAGATCTTGAAAGAAAGGGATTCCATAAAATTGTGGATTTGGGATAAATCTAGAATCAAGTGTGGGATGAGCCAAGTGAAATGGAAAGCTTGACCCTGCATAAAGATAAAGGGATCATATCGATTTTTTGATGGGGGAATGTGGTTAGCATTATTCATTGTCTGGTTATGCATCAGGGTTCATGGGGGGTACCCTTGCTGCCAGGGTCAATGTGTTGATTTTGATGGTTTTTTAAAAGGAATCTTAAAAGAAAGGGATCCCGTAAATTTGTGGATTTGGGATAAATTTAGAATCAAGTGTGGGATGACCCAAGTGGAATGGAAAGCTTGACCCTGAATAAAGATCAGGGATCATATCGATTTTTTGATGGGGGAATGTGGTTAGCATTATTCATGGTCTGGTTATTATTTAGTGCATCAGGGTTCATGGGGGATACCCTTGCTGCCAGGGTCAATGTGAAAACCATGCAAATCCCATGGGGGATGAGGGTTGGGAGACCTTGAATAAAACCAGTGCCAGAAGCATGCAAATCCCATGGTAAATCAGGTTTCCCTGGCATGATCCCTGGATGAGTTACCTGTAAAAACCATGCAAATCCCATTGGGGATCAGGGTTGGGAGCACTGACCCTGAATAAATAACAGTGCCAGAAGCATGCAAATCCGATGGTAAATCAGGTTCTTTCTTGCATGATCCCTGGATAAATTCACTATGAAACCATGCAAATCCCATGGGGGATGATGGTTTGGAGCACTGACCCTGAATAAAAATTAGATGCCAGAAGCCTGCAAATCCCAGGGTAAATCAGGTTTCCCTGGCATGATCCCTGGATATGTTCTATGAAAACCATGCAAATCCAATGAAGGATGAGGGTTGGGAGCACTGACCCTGAATAAGAATTTGCATTTTGCATGGATCCCAATGGGAATTCTAGAGTTCTTTTGTGAGCTGGGGAACTGAGGATTCATTCATTCATGTGGAAATTTATTGTTTTGAATTAGTTTATATTATGTTGTTAACTTTTCATATTTGTTCACCTGGCAAAAAACGGTTAGCATTATGTATGGTATATTTATTACTTTTCGGGAAATCGGTTAGCATTATTTATGGTAGATTTACTAATGGTAGGTCAACATGATCCTTCTTTTCAGGAAACCATCCAAAACCCGGGGGAAACGATTCGCCGGATGTTGAAAAGAACGATGGTTGAAACGAATGGACAAGGACTCAACCCCTAGAAAGGATGGAAATGGAGTCGGACTCCAACAAGTCAATCTTCCGCACCAATAAAGAACTGGACATGGCGCCGGACCCTTTGTTGCTGCTTGAAGATGGAGACAAACAAATGGGCTTCGGAAGTTGTTCTTGTTTTACTGTGTGTGTTTTATTATTATTGTTACTATTCTTGATGTTTTAAACAAGGGAAAAGTCTTTGCGCAAGGTGAAGGGGCCTTTTGTGGATGCTAACAGAACAGAGTCAACAGGTAAAGCTGACGCGCAGCCCATCTCAATGCTTGGCCCCCGGGAAACCGAATCAATCAGGGCCACTTGCATTTTGACCAGCCCAGAAGGAAGCAGCCCGCATGGAGCCGAGCTAAATCAAACCTGGGCGTGTCTTGAAAATAGGGGCTAGCACCTAATATATAGACAGCTACTCAGGTCTATTGGGGCTCATGAGCTTCCAGCTGGAAGATTCCCTTGGGGGAAGGAACCATGCTAGGTTGCGAGCTAAGAACCACTCCAATGAGCTTCTTTTCTTGCAGAGTGGATAACCCCATGTGCCCGTCCCCAAGATCTCCCCCCCCAAAAAAAAGAGAAACAGGGCGCTCTTTTCTTGGCAGCTCATGTTGAAGGGAAACACCTCCAAGAAAAAGGAACCACGGGTCACTGGTGGTCTGGGTGTCTGCCAAAGCCCGAAGCGAATCTTGAGTCGGAATTTCCCGAGGCCGGCGCTTGGGCGAGGCCTTGGCGAAAACGAAAAGGCGCAAGGGCGCGCACTGCAACCCATGACGAAGACCAAGACGGGTGTCTTTTTGGAATCAATGCCCAATTTGCTGTGTGTTGTGTTTGGGGGACACCCCCAAAAAAAAGATGATGTTCCTTCCAAAAGGGTGCTGTCCCAATAGAAAGACCAAGTGCTTTAGGGGGATCCCCTATTTCAAGTCTAGCACAGTTGGGTCAAAGATCCTTCATAACGGCAAATGTGCCATCTACATTCATCCTGTTGAGGACCCTTCAGAGAGCATTTTTTACGTCGGGATTCGTGTAACCATGTTTGAGGGCGTCCTTTGAACATGCACCGGGCATTTTTGGGTGAGATGCTCGCTTGGAGGCGCGGACGTTTTGTACACCGAACCCCCCCCGTATATCAATGGATGCAACCTCCACCAAAACGTCATGAGGAAGTTCGCCCACGTATGCGCACCACGGAAAGAAAGCACAATGCAACAATGCGGCTACCAGCCTACCAAATGCGTACGGGTTTTTTTGACCCATGGCCACATCCCTAAATGGAACGCTGGCAAGTGGCAACATGGACCAAAACCTGCGGTTTTTCTGGTTTAATTTTGACCCACTCGTAATCCATAGCTGCAAGGCGTCCAGCTTGACTTTGACCATAGGCCCTATCCCCGTCCCCTGGATATGTCTTTCAAGCCCACGCTTCGTGGAGAGGAAATGCCCAAAATTGGTCGGCCTCTTGGCTTCGAATCCACCAAGTCCACGCCTTGGATATGACGTCCCTTCTCATCTCCTGAAACTCTCGGACTTGCCGTATGCAAAATACAGCAGTATGATAGTATGATACAATTACAAGGGGCATATGAAAAGGTATGAAAGTTGCAAACATCGGTAGAACAAATCAGTGCCATCTTTTGTTACAGACATAGCCCCCCCCCAAAAAAAAAAAAAAACAGGCGGCTCTCCTTCCCTTACAAGGGTACTGACTCTCCATGGCTATCCGCTCCTTCCCCCGCTCAGGCGGCGGCAGCCAAGCGCCTGGACAAACGTCTCACGATACAACACAGGAGCTCAGCCCCTCTGGGGCTTGCCGCGCCGAAACGGCACAACGCCGCGCCGTTTAAACCACCTGGGTTGAGCTGTCTCGAGCTGTCTCCAAAGCAAAAGATGGAGCCTGACAAAGTAGCTTAATTGCGGACAAGCCGATGGAGTTTCTAAACAACACTTGGGCGATTCGGTCACATCGATCATGGCAGGTTAAGCCCGCGTTTGTGGAAGGATGCATGCAAAACCTGCTTAAAACCTGCCGATTCAGATCCTCAAAATCGGTTGAGCTCCCTTCCTCGGTCTCATCCACCTTTCAAGCAAATGAACTACGTCAGCCGCCCCGAGCAAACAAGATATGTTTAGTTCTGGCCCACGCTTAGTGAACCTTAGAGGTAGAGTAACTTCAAAGCGATTTCAGGGGAACTTGTATGGAAGGGCCCCTTTTCGGGTACACCCTCCTTCTGCTAGTTAGGGTGTTGGTCTTGGGGCTGGAAAAGACAGCATCATCCCCATCCGTACTTTGTTTCGATCGGGGCCTGCTACGCGTTCGGTCCGGATGTCGCAAAAGGATTCCAAAGCAATATATGTTTCATCGAAAGCCAAACCAAATTATACGCTAAACTTTCTGTAGAACACCAAAGTTTGGTCTGTCAAAAAGTGTCTAAAGTCCAGCAAGCTCAGGAAGTGACATACAAAGCTCACAGCCATAGGTGACTTTTAGGGGAAATAGATGATCAGATGGATATCCCTGGTATGATAAAACCATATAAAACCACCAGGTAAGCCAGGAATCGCCATCGATTTTTCAAGCAAAACAACCGAGGACGCCTATGCTCACAGCTCACCTCACTTGGCTCCTCCAGGCTTGGGCCTTTGGCCATCTTCGATCCGTGTTGGGACTCCATTGGTCCAGTCGAGTTAAGCCATGGACCCTGGGCGTTTGAACTCCCAGACTTTCAGTGGGTTCCAAAAGAAATGGAATCCACGCTGCTTGTGGTAGTATGAAGTGGAAGAGCTTGGCCAATCGGAACCAGTCGGCCGGCACCCGCCTCTTGCTCTCTGCCTGCAAAGCGAGGGGCCAAGATCTGCCAGATCCCGAGCTGCCCAAAAAAAGTGGCACCCTTCCCTCCACAAACCCGGCACCTCTGGCAGAAACGGTACCTGGAAGATCAGTTTCCTCTTGAAGGGACCCCTTGTGAGAAGCCATGTTAGCGGGAGGGAGGGTGCCACTGCTCGTAAGTTGAAAAGGAAGCGAAGGGAAACCAAACCCAACAAAAAGAGAGGACGAGTTGTGAACAAAAGTCCAGCAAGGAACCAAAAGGCCGCCATGCCGCAACATCTGTCGGAATCTGCAAACAAATCGAGGATCACTCCAGGCGCGGCTCAGAATAAGCTTCACATGGCGCCGTTGTACAGGGTCGCATATCGAGCACAGTATGCTTCGGGACCCCTGCCCCCACTAGGTCCTCCAGTAGAGAGGTTAGAATAAGGGTACCCTTTTTCTGTAGTCTAAGTAAGGAAACCCTCCCCCAAAGAAGGCACTACTGGAGGACCCACCCCCAAATCTCTCAGTGCAAAAACTGACCACCGCAAAATGGCCAAGAACCCTTCAGCTTTCCTCGCGGTTCCCGGTGGTGTCCCGGGGTTTCCGATTCGCCCCGCAAAGAAAAACTCCACAGAAGCCCCGGGGGGCCGATCCAAACCGATCGAGTTTCGTTTGCGTGACCTGATGGCCAACGCCCAAAGCCGAAAGGCTGAGCTTTGGGCGTCGGATCGCCCGGGCTCGGCAAACGCAAAACTTTTTCGGTCGACATGGAAAGACTTAGCAAAGCCCTTCAAAGGATGCACGTTGGAGGTCGAGGGTCATAAGCAGGACTGCTCTGAAGACAACTTCTGCGCACTTCCTGAGGTTGGCCAAACACAAGCCCAATTGTCAAGGATAGAAATGCAGTGGAAAAGCAAGAAAGGATTGCAGGACCCAATAACCAAAAGGTGAAAAGGTCGCTTTGCGTTGAGAACAACCGAGTATTTCTGTTTGGCCAATGTCTCAACTGCACGCATTTTTGTTCCGGCGGACAGCTGGCAAAAGGATGAATCCATCCGCGGCGAGGGTCATGGACGCGTCCCCCAAATTTTGGATCTTTAGTTCTTTAGTCAAGGTGTGAAGGATCTGCACATTTTACGGTAATCCCAGAAGCTGAAATAAGGGATCCCCGCAAAAAGGACTTTAATCATGGTGAACTCGATATACCTGCTAGGTGAGCTCGAATTAAAAAAGGCAGAAGGATACACCTAACGACCACCTGCATGTAGAAACCTAAAGATAAACTGTATGAGCTGGTAAAAGTTGTTTTCTAGGGTTTGCCAAAAAGTGTATCCTTCAAGGACTGCTTCGGGATAGAATAAGGGCCATCAAGGTTGCATCCCTTCGAGCGGTTTGACGGCAAGGCATGAAGTTGGCAAACAAAACTGCGAGAAGCCAAGCCAATATTCTAGCCTATATCTTCAAATGCACCCTCCAGGCACCCCTCTCGGCCTTCTTGGCGATATCGTCCAGAAGCCGTCCAGCAGTACTCTGACTCTTGCCACCTCATAGCAGAGTGGGCATTTGAAGGTGAGTCGAGGTGGGAACACATTTTGTTTGTGCCAAAGGGAAGCCACAATGAATCTTTAGATTTCCATCTATGGGCGCCAATTCTGTTGCAATCAACAAATGCAACACACATCCCAATTGATTGTGTTATCTAAACTCCTAAGCATACAACACACATGGACGCGGGTCAAACATTACCCTGGCAAGTCGACACAAGGACTAAAACCGCATTGCGGTCCATATCCTGGCGGTGACTCATTTTGCACATCGTAATCAAACAAAAAGACACCTTGTAAAAAAAAAAAAAAACAACAACATCTAAACAACAAGGGCTTGCAAGGTGTTGGACGCCCCTGGCCGGTCCCAGAGGTCGCCGGGGCCTCGGGCGATGCTTCTTGGGACGCAGCGCCATGTCCACGCCCTTGTCGTGGAGCCTGGGCGGTCGGGGGGCGTCCACTCGTTTTGGGTGTCGTGGCTCTTTTGGTCCCAGATCCATAGAGCTGGGCATGATTAGAGTTGGGTCCAGTTTTGGAATGCATAAATCAAACTGTTTGCTTCACTTGGAGTCACCGGTAAAATGTAAAATGTGTCGCAAGTCTACCCCAGTGGGGATACGCAGAAATGTTGGTCTTTGTGTCCAAGGGGCCGAAAAGTGGTACCAGTTCTTTTTGAGCCACAGATCCATAGAACCCTTAGACCAAAAGCAAACTAGCTTGCCTACAAGTTTGGGAAATTGGATCCACGAGGTGTGGTTTCAAAGGGAAACCAGTAGGAAAACCAACCTTTTTGGGGGTCCCCAAAAACAGACATGAAATTTGTTCCCGCCCGAACATCGTAAAACCACCCATTTTGGGGGTCCCAGAAAACAGACATGCTATGTATCCTTGGTTTGCTTCTGGTTTCCCACGAGAAAAACATCAACCAAAGGAGGCGGTTTCCGCGGATTCGGTAATGCTTATTTGGGCCAGGTGGTTGGAGATCATTTGGTGATTCATGTCAAGCACCCAGGCTGAGTTGCCCCTTTTCGGGACCTGGAACTAAAAAATTGGTGAGGATTTACGTCAACCACTCAACCCATTTGGTCGCCCTTTTTCGGGACCTGGAACTACAAGGTGATCACCTTTGGGTTGCCATGACAAAATATGGTTGCCAAAATGGAAAAACCAAAACGTCAAAGCCGAGCTTTTGGTCCAAAAAGTTGAAAAATACATCGTTTCCAAACAGATCGCAATCAATCCATAGGCCCAAAGTCTCCACCAGAGAAGAACTTCTTTTTGAACCCATAGGGCTTCTGATCGAGGCACTTCCTGCAGCCGGAGGTCATTGTTGAAGGGTCCCTTGGGACCCTTCTTGGGCCTGCGCTCTTTGGGACATTCGATTCTTTTGCAAGCTGAGAATGGGCTCTTTGGGACTCACGGCTACGTGACAAACAGTGGCTTTCGAAAAAATATGCTGACCTGCCGTCACCGATTTCGTGTTAATCTAAAATGGACAACTCCTTAATCCTTGCAGCCCATGCACTTTGTTTTGCACGTGCAGTGATCCGTGTCGCACAAGTCACAAGTAGTCATTAGCAAAGTCCTCCCAAAGGAAGTGCCTGGCCCTGGAAGCTGACAACTTTGTCAGGCCTCAAAGCCTAAGCTGGGCCCTCTTAGCTAGCCACTCAGCAGCAGCCGGAGCTCTTCTTCTTCTTGCTCTTCTTGGACTTCTTGAGAGAGGACGAAGCGGACGCTCCTGCCCTGGCCATGCTGGAGCCAACCGCAGCTGCCGCATCGCCGGCACTGATCACGAAGCTCTCACGGGCCTTGTCCGACATGGAGTGAGTCTGCTGGGGAGCTGTGTGGCCCTCAGGGTGGGAGGTCACCACAAAACCCGGTGGCAGCGCCTCTCCAGGGGCAAACCACTTGCCCTGCGCGTGGTCCAAGCCGGCAGGCATTGCAGGCATGGGCATGCCTTGCGGCATGGAGTACCCCGAGTAGCCCGAGTAGTCCGCACCGTAGGGCGCCCCGGACGTGTACGTCACAGGCTGAGGCATGGCCCCTGCGGGGTACTGGTAGGCCATGGCAACAAGTCGCAGCTAGATGCACAGCTTGCAAGGATCTCCCTTGAGATGCTCAAACGCGACAGGTGTTCCCAACATCTCGACCAAAACTGTGCACATGCAACACATGCACACCGAAACTCAGCACATCAATCATTGTCTTCAAAGGTCAACGTTTCACCGTTTAATTTCACATCCACAGCTACAACAAGGACAGGGATGCTGAGCATGACTCTTGGTTTATGCTGATGACTTGGCGTTCAATGACAAACTGCGTAGTACATGTGATGACAGCTGAAGCAACTTGATGGGATGCACCTTGTTTTGCACTTGCAGTGATCCGTGTCGCACAAGTCACAAGTAGTCATTAGCAAAGTCATTCTCCCAAAGGAAGTGCCTGGCCCTGAAAGCTGACAACTTTGTCAGGCCTCAAAGCCTAAGCTGGGCCCTCTTAGCTAGCCACTCAGCAGCAGCCGGAGCTCTTCTTCTTCTTGCTCTTCTTGGACTTCTTGAGAGAGGACGAAGCGGACGCTCCTGCCCTGGCCATGCTGGAGCCAACCGCAGCTGCCGCATCGCCGGCACTGATCACGAAGCTCTCACGGGCCTTGTCCGACATGGAGTGAGTCTGCTGGGGAGCTGTGTGGCCCTCAGGGTGGGAGGTCACCACAAAACCCGGTGGCAGCGCCTCTCCAGGGGCAAACCACTTGCCCTGCGCGTGGTCCAAGCCGGCAGGCATTGCAGGCATGGGCATGCCTTGCGGCATGGAGTACCCTGAGTAGCCCGAGTAGTCCGCACCGTAGGGCGCCCCGGACGTGTACGTCACAGGCTGAGGCATGGCCCCTGCGGGGTACTGGTAGGCCATGGCAACAAGTCGCAGCACAGCTTGCAAGGATCTCCCTTGAGATGCTCAAACGCGACAGGTGTTCCCAACATCTCGACCAAAACTGTGCACATGCAACAAATGCACACCGAAACTCAGCACATCAATCATTGTCTTCAAAGGTCAACGTTTCACAGTTGAATTTCACATCCACAGCTACAACAAGGACAGGGATGCTGAGCATGACTCTTGGTTTATGCTGATGACTTGGCGTTCCATGACAAACTGCGTAGTACATGTGATGACAGCTGAAGCAACTTGATGGGATGCACCTTGTTTTGCACGTGCAGTGATCCGTGTCGCACAAGTCACAAGTAGTCATTAGCAAAGTCATTCTCCCAAAGGAAGTGCCTGGCCCTGAAAGCTGACAACTTTGTCAGGCCTCAAAGCCTAAGCTGGGCCATCTTAGCTAGCCACTCAGCAGCAGCCGGAGCTCTTCTTCTTCTTGCTCTTCTTGGACTTCTTGAGAGAGGACGAAGCGGACGCTCCTGCCCTGGCCATGCCGGAGCCAACCGCAGCTGCCGCATCGCCGGCACTGATCACGAAGCTCTCACGGGCCTTGTCCGACATGGAGTGAGTCTGCTGGGGAGCTGTGTGGCCCTCAGGGTGGGAGGTCACCACAAAACCCGGTGGCAGCGCCTCTCCAGGGGCAAACCACTTGCCCTGCGCGTGGTCCAAGCCGGCAGGCATTGCAGGCATGGGCATGCCTTGCGGCATGGAGTACCCCGAGTAGCCCGAGTAGTCCGCACCGTAGGGCGCCCCGGACGTGTACGTCACAGGCTGAGGCATGGCCCCTGCGGGGTACTGGTAGGCCATGGCAACAAGTCGCAGCTAGATGCACAGCTTGCAAGGATCTCCCTTGAGATGCTCAAATGCGACAGGTGTTCCCAACATCTCGACCAAAACTGCGCACATGCAACACATGCACACCGAAACTGAGCACGTCAATCATTGTCTTCAAAGGTCAACGTTTCACAGTTGAATTTCACATCCACAGCTACAACAAGGACAGGGATGCTGAGCATGACTCTTGGTTTATGCTGATGACTTGGCGTTCCATGACAAACTGCGTAGTACATGTGATGACAGCTGAAGCAACTTGATGGGATGCACCTTGTTTTGCACGTGCAGTGATCCGTGTCGCACAAGTCACAAGTAGTCATTAGCAAAGTCATTCTCCCAAAGGAAGTGCCTGGCCCTGAAAGCTGACAACTTTGTCAGGCCTCAAAGCCTAAGCTGGGCCCTCTTAGCTAGCCACTCAGCAGCAGCCGGAGCTCTTCTTCTTCTTGCTCTTCTTGGACTTCTTGAGAGAGGACGAAGCGGACGCTCCTGCCCTGGCCATGCTGGAGCCAACCGCAGCTGCCGCATCGCCGGCACTGATCACGAAGCTCTCACGGGCCTTGTCCGACATGGAGTGAGTCTGCTGGGGAGCTGTGTGGCCCTCAGGGTGGGAGGTCACCACAAAACCCGGTGGCAGCGCCTCTCCAGGGGCAAACCACTTGCCCTGCGCGTGGTCCAAGCCGGCAGGCATTGCGGACATGGGCATGCCTTGCGGCATGGAGTACCCCGAGTAGCCCGAGTAGTCCGCACCGTAGGGCGCCCCGGACGTGTACGTCACAGGCTGAGGCATGGCCCCTGCGGGGTACTGGTAGGCCATGGCAACAAGTCGCAGCTAGATGCACAGCTTGCAAGGATCTCCCTTGAGATGCTCAAACGCTACAGGTGTTCCCGATATCTGCAAAGATGTGATGCAAGATCCTGATTCTGAGAAGAATGAGACTCGTGCCCTGCACAATGTTGGAGGCCGCCAAACAAGGGTCAAGGGTTGATTCCCCATTCTCTTCATCCATCGTCCCCTTCAGAAGCCACATTTTCCCGTGTCCATTCTTCAAAGAGAAGGATATCCTGAAGACACTGGCCCATGCTTTGGCCTATGTTTTGAAGAGAAGGAACAAACAGCCACCGAAGGAGAAGGGGCGGGATCCACTGAGGCAGGGACAGCAGAATGGTGGACTTGAGGCTGGAGTGAGCCGCACAGTACACCGCGGTGCGCCCGTGCTTGTCCTCGCCAGCTTGGCTTCAAACACACCAATCAAGCAGAAGGCAAATGGGAGGGGATGTCGATTTTTGTTGAGGGCACTCTGATTGTTTTTGTGTTTCTGTAAAAGGGAGACCAAAAAATATAATCCCACCCCTTTTGGCCTCCTCAAGTTTAGGACACACACATGTAATGTACCACACAAAAAAGACATGTTTGTTTTCTTCTTGTTGTGCCAGGTTCATTTGGGGTGTGCCATTGGGACATTAGACAGTTTGTTCCTGCACCATCCCGATCGAGCAAAGGCAGTGAAGGGCGGGACCACATCTAGCTGGCCAATGGGAACCCAGTTGGCCAATAACTCCTGGTTCATCATAGGACACCCGTGGGAAAATGGCTGCAACCTTCTCTTTATCAGGGGTGTCCATTCTTCAAAAAAGATAGGTTCCATAACCGCCAGTGGGCTGCAAACCAAACTCTTCTCTTTCCAACCTGTGTGTTGGCAACAACCTTGGTACAAACACAACTTCATTCCAAGAACAGTGAAACTAAATTCCACCTAAGCCGTGGCAACAATCTATGTACAAACATCATTTCAAGAACACTGAAACCAAACTCTACTTGAAGCCGTGGTCAATCGTCTCTTTTTGTGTCGGAGTCCTGCGCGTTGAGGCTGGCGGTGCTCATGTTGTCTGCCAGCCACTGCACCTTGGGCTGTGAACAAATCCCATGGTTTCCACCAGGCGATGCTCCTACGCAATCTCAGGGAACAAATGCAAAACGCAAAGCTTCCAAAAACCTCCATCGGATTCGGCCCCGACGAAAGGAAACCAATCGCTTTGGGAACTTGTGCCGTTTGGTCTCCAAGGAGCAGCAACAAACAACAAGCACCAAACCTACCAAAGCCTATTGAGGCAACGTCTTTGGCTGACCAAACTTACTGAAGTGTTCAATGCAACATGTGCTTAAAACTCGGGGGGGGGGGGGTGAACCTGCTCTTGAACTCCACTTACCTTGTAGTCTATGGGCAAAAAGAAGCAGGTTCGGGGATCGAACAAACTGGATCATCTCAAAAAAAGAAAGCCGTAGCTTCCTGAGTGGTTTGGCTGGAAAACGTCCGAACTTGGAATTGACCGCCAAAATGGTCCAAACCCAACAAGCTTTTCAAGTCCCTGAGCTCAGAGAGTGAGAAGATGTGGCGGGTCAAAACCCAGGAAACCCCTGGTGAACATCAAAATACTCGGTTGCTTTCTGCTCCCCTGCTAAAAGTTTAACTTGGTTTAATGGAAAACCCATGAGTTGGCAAAAAGTTAAGTCATAACATCCAAGCAGAATGCGCCAAAGAGTAGGTGGCACATGGGTGTTCATCCGACCCGAAATGGGATCGGCATAGGCTATGACCCATGGCCATGTCAGAAAACCTGAGATCTCCTGATGGCTCGGACTTCAAACAAAAGAAATTTATTCCATGCCCAGGCGCAGCGTCATTGAGCCCCGCATGAGCGGCGAGGTGCAAAGGGCTCTGGCCTGAGCGAACGGCCCGCATTTTCATAACGTGGCTGTGGTTGTCAAAACCGTTTTGGGATCCCATTTTGGTTGGGATTGGTGAATTCACCACCCATGATAGAACCTATTTTAGTGCTTGGATTGAATCGGATGTTCACTGAACCTATTTGGATTTTGACCCATGGCTGGTTTGTCCCATAGCTACCCCTCATAGCAACTTCAGCTTCTGAGCTGTGTGGGAACACTTCACTACCCCTCTTCTGAGAAACAAAAAAGGGGGGCAAGTGAGACCCTGCTGTCAGGGCTCAGATCGCTTAGTCAGTGGGGGTTCCACTCTCCACCCTCGAAACCGAAAAGCCAAAAAGGAACCGGATCTCAGTTCAGTGCCCCTGGGAAAAAAACTCCGAACCCTTTTTTGGAAAGACCATGTTTAGGGAAACCCAGGGAGAACGGCCGGTTTTTGGAAACAACAATGGTTGACATGGTCTAGGTCCCCCCCCTTGAGGTTAGAAGTTGGTACCCACTTCCTTTCTTCGGTTTTGTAATTATTTTCGGGAACCCTCCCCCAGAAAAGGGTAGAGAAGGGCACTACTGGGGGAGCTACCCTTTTTTTGGGGCTTGGACCATGTTCAGTGGGGCAGCCACCAAACAAAGAAGGGAAAAAGAATTGGTGCCACCGAAGAACCGAGGGATGGCTCCTTCAACTTTTGCTCTGCCCTTTCAGGTGCCCTTTTCCCCACCAAAAGTGGACCGTGGGCTTCCGGCTCCAAAAGTCTTGCACAACCCGACCCGTCGGCTTCCAGCAATCGAGGGAGGATTCGTTGGATGCCTTGCCCCTTGAACCCTCGAGCCCAGGCAGGAAAATTGGCAAACGCTCTTCTGATAAGCAAGGATGTCTTTCTCGCGTGCAAGGCGGTGAATACCCCTTTGGCACCTGTGTCCTGGTGAGAAAACAGTCTGAGTATGAGGCTAGTATGACTTAGAGCCCCATGGGAACCTTACCCCTCAATAGAAAGCTGCTAACCCTGCTATGTGTTTTTCCTAAGGAAACCCTCCATGATTGAGTGGAACATTTGGACAAACATTTCGGGCAAAGAGCATTTCTCTTGATATCTGTTGACACCGCAAAGCGAACAACCCCTGGCGTCAAAAGGCAAATTCGAATTGGGGAAGCCCCCTGGCCCTAATTCTAGGGTAGTGGAAAAACAGGTTTGGATCCTGATCTCACTGCGGCCTGTTTGGCTTTTCCTGCTTATCCTTTCTCCGTCAAGGTAAGCGGTTGTCCGATTTATTTTCCAGGTCCTTTGAGCAGGGTGAAAGCTTTTGAAACCATCCGTTTAGGGTCCCTCATGGGCCAAAACGGTGATGTTCAAAAGGGACATATTGGGTATGGGTCAAGATTAAAGCACCAGGGCACCGGTTTTAGTCCTTGGTTCCATTTACTCGGGCAACCCGAAATGGACACCCATTTTTGACCAGCCATATGGACCCAGCAAGTCGAACTCTGGGCCCACGGGCTTTGACTCTAAAGTCACATCTGCCACTTGGCGACGTTGATTTTCTTTTGGCGACCGTTTTTTGGAACTGCCACACACCCATACCGGCAATATGTCCCAACCACTAAAATAGGTTCTAACATGGTGAATGCACCAAGCCCAACCAAAATGGGATCCCAAAACGGTTTTGACAACCACAGCCATATCCGAGTGGTCGAGTTTTTCCGAGAGGTCCCCGGGCCTTTGTGGTTCAGCACGTTGGGGTCCGCTTTGGCGTTGCCCAGCACCATGCACGCGCGCCTTGCCCCAGAACCCATGGGGCCATGGGGCCATGGGGCGAGGATAAGCCCGGGTGGCGAGTCCCCAACAGCACCCTGGCTCGGAGCAAACAACTCCGGAGCGATTTGGGAGCACAAGTCGAGCACGTGAAAGAACCGATGCCACCACTAAACAGCCGCCCAAAAGGAAATCCGCACCAAAAAGCATGTTTTTGAGAACCCCTCATGTGGGAGGAAAAGGCCACCTTTCTTTTGGTTGGTTGAATTTGACGGGAAACCTTGTCCAAAAAAGAAAGAAACACGGGCGCCACTGGACAAACCTGTGGTACGGTAAAGGCCAGGAAAGCAAAATGTTCAACCACTAGTTGAAAGAATAAAGCCGCTGTTTGTTTCGGGTGGCTCCCCTTCAAACATAAGTAAAGGGGATGTGGCGTAGCCCAAAATGTGAGAGGTAAACTTCTCTCGACCAGAATGCCTGGAAACAGCAAGTCGTGCTCCTCTTTGGTCGAGGCCGACACAAGCACATTCTAGCTTTACCCTTCCCATTCCCTGCAGGGGCCTTCCCATTCCCTGCAGGGGCCCGCCTCCAGAAAATAGCCAAACTCCGCGAGTTTAGGGTGATTTCTGAAAAGGAGTAAGGATGAAAATCATGGTGCATCAATCCTTACACATATCGGGGCAAACACCGGACAAGTGAAACGGAAGTTTGGGAACCGACGACACCATTTTAAGGTATGGGTTGCGGAGGTATGAACACCAACAAGTGATAACAAGTGCGCAACCTTTCGAAGTGGGTTGGCCGAAAAAGTTTAAGGTTGTTGTTGTTTACCATGCACACGGTCAAGATCAGCATAGCATCCAGGAGCTCAGACTTGAGGCAAGGCTGTGTGCCTCTGTGCAAATGAGCTGCATCTCCAAAACCCATACCTGCCCTGGATGCAAACACTGTGATCTTGAGTCCGGTCATGTCCACCTCAGAACCTGGTCTTGCAGGTCATGTGACCACTTTATCGGCTTGAGTCGAAATGGATGACCGGAAAGCCAAAGGTCTGCTTTCAACAGCTGAGTTGAAAAAGAGGGGCTTGTGGTTTCTGCGCTGTTCTCAGATCTGCTAAAAGCTTAGGTTAAATGGACATCCCCGCTAAAGCAAACTAAAAGCCAACCAAAAACCAAATTACGGGGGGCTGGGAGCCACCCAGGTTTGTTTGGCTTGGACTCCTTTGCCAACCCGGCAGCCGGCCCCAGACCCTCGGCCCGCCTGTTAGGAACGAAGAAAAAAGGCGTCTGGTCATGACCTCAAGGGTCCGGTTCCTCCCCCCTCGGGGTGTCGGGGGTGGGGGGTCCCCCAGATCTCTGCGTCTTGTCCCCGCCAAAAAAGGGACATGGTACCACGGAATCTCAGGGTCAACTTCTCCCCAATCCCATGTTTTCAGGGGGTGGTTGGCTTTCCGATACCAAAAGACATGAGTTGCACTGAAGATCTAGTACCTCGGTTGCTTTGGCCATGCACCAAAGGTACTATAGGGCCCTGCACAAGAGCCACACGTGAATCCAAAGGGCGGATACCCACACCTATGGCTGGCACTGTGCCCTACCCTTCGGTTTTGACTGCTCAATGATTTGTTCACGGATGGCTGACCCATTGTAGAAAGCAGCACGAATCTCACACTTGCCCAGAAAGGACTAAAGGTTAACCTTTTGGGTTGCCATGACTCAAAATTGGACCAAAAAGGGGAAACCAAGAGGTCAGATCAGGTCGATTCGCTTTGGACAAGGGAGTCCGTAAACAACACCAACCCAGAGTTGGCTTTGTCTCCAGGGGGAAGCCCAACAAATGGCAACGGCTTCATTACGATGGAAGCACGGGGCGTAACAAATCCTAAACCACAATTTGGGATCTGATTGTCAACCAGGTTGCTTGGTTACCAATGTTGAACGGGAGCAACTGGTCTCGTCTGTTTAGGGGAACCCAAGCCTTCGGTTGGTACTTCAAAGCAAAGCCAACCAGCCTAAAACAAGCGAAGCCCTTGAATGTACCAACTTAGTAAGGTTCTGATAGATTAAAACGGTGGATAGAACTGGGGTATCTGGGTTAGTCCCCTCCTTTCCATGGTTCTGATATAATCCCACATTCCTAATAACGAAGGTCTCCCGATTAATGACAATAATGACAATGAAGACCATCAATGATAATAATAATGATACCAACAAATCCAGATGCCGCCAAACAAAAACAGGTCGGTGAAGAAGACTAAATTTAGAATAGACCAATTCTAAACCAAACTGGCGACTTTCCCTGACCCCACGGTCCTTGCCTTTCAGAAGCTACGCTACAAACAACCGAACCTGAAACTGGCTGGTTTTATTTAAACAAAGAAAACCCCCGAAGAATAAATGTGGTTTATGTTTCCGGGAACACATGTATTTAGATTTTGTTGGGGGAACAACGCCAGCCCTGCTGACAAGGAGTCCAAGAGTTAACTTGCGCGCAACACAGCTTTAAGCCTCTGCAGAACGGTCTTCGCTGGCATACGAGCCAGCGCGGTGAACCATGATGACAGCTTCTTTCTTGGATATCCCTTGCAACTCCCAGTGTTTCAGTGGCACCCACTGATCCCCTTTGCCAGAATCTCCTCCAAAACGAATTGGTTCTAGTGGACAACACTAATTGACAAGTAAAATATATACCCCACAGACAGTATTGAAACACATAAATTCAGCTCAGTTTTGAGCACAACTTTTAGACCACACACACACATGCATCAACCCCAACTTCTGCGCGGCCAAGCACGAATTGGATCTCAACTTAAGCCGCCCACTGTTTTGCGCGCTTTCTGTTGCTAACTTGTGATAGCACACGCCCCTGGCACGTCAGCAAACCACCTTGTGCACTTCACCCTCTCAAAACAAAAACGAACAGCTAAAACACATACATTTACAGTGAACATTGACTACCAATAACCTAACCCTTGGTATCTGCGTAAGCACAAACACTTTGATCCTTGCAAACCACCACCAAAAAGACAAACAACACAAAGCAAAAACCGAACAACTATTAAACAAAAAAACAAAACAAAAACACGACTGACCGACTGACCTACCGACACACCCACCCACCAACCACAAGAATAGTGCAGCTACATGTCTGTGACTTCTCCCAATCTGCCTTCTGAGGCCCTTGCAATCCCTGGACTCCAAGTTTGCCCTGCGCAGTCACAAGCTTTCCACTCATCAAGTACCCAGCGACTGCTTTTTGGACTTGCGATTCTGGAAATGGTTGAAGAAGCAGTTGGGAGTGCTTGGTTCGGTCAACAAATACGTGACCACAAGAATGTCTACTAAACTGCACCGGACAGTTTTGTGCATATTGCCCTTTACTACTGTGGATGGACGAAATCCATTTCGCATCACGCTGAAACCATGGTTGAAGCCATTTGTTGGTGTTTACGTGGGCGAATCGAATCAGAAACCAGGGCTTCTGAACGGGGCGAAATGGATTTCGCAACCATCCGCAGGATGTAGCGGTTCTATACCTAGGTCTTCCCCTGTAGTGCGACACCCCCTGCCACTAGGGAGTTCGGACTTTAGGGCAACCCGTTGTTACATGTATACCACATGCAAAGATGTGCCTATGTTCATACCTACAATTTTATATTATTTTAAAAAAGCGTATATTTACATGTCCTCATGTTTCTATAGATATATGGATATGTACGTACGCACGCCTGAAACTCAGATGATTCACTGCCAAAGCTGCCGGTTTGCACTAAAATGTGAAGGTTCCTCTAACCGGTTGGGTCCTCCGAATAATCCGAAGTCGACGAAAACACAGATTGTCTGTTGGAACATGCTTATTAGAACCCCCGCCTTTAGGATCCCCTGAGATAGTCTGCTTTCCCCGGACAATACGCCCATGCCTCCTGGCACGCACGCAGGTTCAAAACACATAGAACAAAACGCTCGCCAGTCAAGCAAACGCAAGGAGTTGCACAACACACATAGATTGAACTATCCAACTGGACGAATCATTCCTGGAGCCAGAGGAAAACTGGAATTGCGACACCGCGTTGCGCATCTTGCTCCATTAGAGACAGTGATTTGTCTTGCCGTCTTCGAACACGCACGTCCTCTCCAAAAAGCCCAGTGCTTGGTGATTCTTGGTCCACTTCCTGACCAGATCAACCCCAAAACACAATGGTTCAAGCAGAGTTGAAGCAAACCCCTCGTTTCGACACGCTAAAGCCACACTTGCGCAATTGCCTCGTGTACACTTGCAGTAACCCAATTGCTAGGTAATCACATCTACCCTCTAATCAGCAAATCTGCACATGGAGGGCTTTCAACAGCTTCCCTGCGAGGGCTTTCAAAATTAACCCATCCGAAATCACCCCACGACTCAAGTCGGTCTCTCCGAAATGATGCCAAAACTGCCGGCAGGGTTCCCAAGCAGAGTAAATCCACGCAAAGGGAGGAGTATCCAAACGACAGTCTTAATGCAGCTTTCCCTATACTCCCCACACATCACCACCAATCTGATCGAGCGGATTGGCCAGAAAAATCCACCAAACTGTGTGTTTGCCACGAAAATGGTCCAAACCCAAAAAGTTTAAAGTCCGGGAACTCAGAGGGTAAGTTCATGCGCCAAAGAGGTGTGTACCCCGGCTAACCCCTAACCTAACCTTTGTCTCGTGGGGGGGGGTTCGGGTTCGTTGGGTCGGGTTCGGGTTCGGGTTCCAGACCGCGCGTGTCCGCTGAGTTGGGGGGGGGGGGGTTTCGGGTTTGGGTTCGGGTGGGGTACCTGATGGCCAAAAGGAGAAGCCTGGCAAGAGCTTATTTGGAAACCAGCGGGCTTGGATCTCAACTCGGGAAGTGGGTCATAGACCTTGGGGGGGGCTATGGGGTATGCCTGGACACGCCCAGGATAAGCTAGCCGCCCTTAGGGGTGTATGGGTGACGACTGCTTGCACACCATTTGCTCCGTTGCAGACGGTCCGTTGCGATCAAAGCCTGCGACCACTGCGACTCCCCTAAGCCAACTGGCGCAACACAGGACTCCCTATTTTGCCCCTTGAAACATTACCCACCAAAGGAGACTCACTTTGAAATGGCCCGAAATTTCAACAAGTGATGTTTAAAAGCCAACAACAGGGGGAAACAGGGAACCCTGCGACTGGCGCCTGTTCCCAATCAGCAGCTTCATGATGTCCAGTGACCCATCAAAGGTCGCGAGGTGCAGGGGCGTGACGCCCTGGTAGAAAGGGGATCTGGGGTAGAAAGGCAACCCAAACTCAGCAGAACAATGTGCATTGTTGCTCTTAGCTCCTCATGTCTATATATATATATATGTATATATACAAATGCGGGTGCATGGCTCATGGGCAAAAGGACACCCTGTGTTTGGTAGACGAATCTAAGGAGAAACCCCGGAAACAAAGCAAAGAATGGCGCGACCTCTGACCCCGAATTGCAGTACTTCCCACGTGGTATCTAGAAATGGCATTGATTGCAACCAGCCAAGGAACATCAAGATGAGTTCAAGTTCTCACACAAATGCATGAGCAAGATGGATGTGATCTGAGTGGACTGGCTAGAGCAAGTGAGAACAAGTGACTGAGATGTTCGGGCCTTTTGCTAATATGATGAAGAACCTAAACTAAGACTCGGAAGGGGGGGATCCAACCATTACAAACTGGCAGCTTGCAAACGAGGGGAAGCCAAGCAATTCTGTCATACCAAAGTGGGCCGTCCTCGTGGACGTGGGGTTTTTCTCGGTGTCGCACAGACTGGCAGTATGTTGATTCTCCACAACCACTCAACAGGTGAAGTTCTGGATACGAGGGTTGCTACTTGAACCCTGGTTAGCGACACCAAAAGATGCGGCTGTGCCAGTCACATTTGGACTGTTTGTGCGGCAGCTGGAACGCACAAACAGTGCAAAGCGATTGAACCATAAGATGCACCGGGCAACTGGTAGAAGAACAGGGGCCTTTGTGGGGGCTGACCATTTGTAACCTTTTAGTTTGCTTCAGAGCCACCAAGCAAACAAAAATCAGAGGAGGGTTGGAATCCAGAAACACGTGCCACAATCACCAATTCCTGAGTGGATTGGTCTGGTCAAAGCAAAGTCTGAACTTTTGCTACCACTAACATGATCTGCGACATGATAACCTGGTATGAAGCAGGTCTACCCAAAACAGCCAAATGATTCGCACGATGCCGGACCCATTCCCGTTTAGGACTTTTATTCAGGCTTTTCATGGTGGCTCGTTGGGGTTGTCTGAAAGCAGGATACGTGGATGTGTGGCCAAGCTAATAAGTGGTTAGACACCCCACTATATAATAACAGGGTTAATTCCACAAGAGGAGGACTTATGAGTGGTTGTAGTTAGTCTAAGTTCCCGACAACTTACTAACTTGGCCGAACACCTTCGCATGGACCCGCCTTTTTTGGGCCCAGTATTCCAATAAAACCCGCGTGAGCTCACGGCAGCGTACCATGGAAGCAAGACCCTCACAACTGCCCTCCAAATTGTGGTTGAAAGGAGTTGCCTCGGAAAAGTCAACCAAATGTAAAATGGACCCAGCCATTCTGGGAAACAAGTTCTTGTGTGATACCAAAGCAACCCTATGACTACTTCACATTCAGGTGGTTCCCTTGGCAACCAAAACCGAGTTGTCCAATGGGGTCTAGTAAATGGGTGGCATCCGAACGGGCAGTTTATGGAAGTTTAGGTCTCGCCTTCCCCATGTCTCTTCCACCAGAGTCTAGCTCACTTCCAAAACAACTTGAAATGTCATGGTCTTCGCCAAAAGTGGAAGACACAAGTTTGCAAAAGTCCAACTCACGAAGTGAGCCCCCCCAAAAAAAGAAGGATCTTTCGCCCTTCTTGCGCGCTTCTCGCGCCCCTCGCGTCGGCCATCCACAGACAAGGCCACCATGAGCCACTCCCCCCGTTCGCCTTGGCGTCGGCGCTGGCCGCTGAGGCGCGCTGGCGCAAGAGTAGCTTCACCAACTCCGTCTGCTGCGCCTGAAATTTTCTCGGCGCGACGAGCCGAGGCCTCGGGCTTGGAGGTTTGGAGCCGAATCGGTTTGGTTTAGGTGGGACACCCCAGAACAACAGAGGCTCCTACATTTCCCGAACCACACTTTTAAACAACGAATTGTATTCGGGATACCTGGCGTACACGCACACCCT